ACGGAAACTAGAAGGGTTTTGGCTAAGAGAAGTTTGTAAAAGTAAGAGAGAGGAAGGAGAAAAAAACCTTTTTATAGTGAAGAGCGATTGTCCATCAAAAGGACACGTGTTCGCATCCTGAAGGAGAAGGTGAAAAGTTTGTCAAGTCACCTGACATTGGGAATGGTTATTCATCATTGTAACTGCTACACGCACGTCGTGAAGAGACATTTTTTGGGAAGAGATGTCGTGATGATATCATTAAAATACGAAAAGATTCTCTTTGTTGGTCGAAATAACGTAAATCACAAGAAATGTCTATTTCTGCACATCTTCGAAACAGACATTTATTGGGGGCAATTTGTTAGCTGGGAATTTCGACTAGGATAATAAATGAATCATTCATTTAAACTTCCACAAAATGGCTTGAAAAAAGCTATAGGCGAAGTATGATGTTACTGGATCTGAGTCGAAGAAGACAGTTGATCTGAGTCGAAGAAGACAGTTGATCTGAGTCGAAGAAGACAGTTGATCTGAGTCAAAGAAGACAGTTGATCTGAGTCAAAGAAGACACTTTGAAAGGACACGTGTTTTTGTTTTGTCAAAGACACGCGTTTCGACGGCCACGTGCGAAAGTTGTTGCTGAAGGCTTGAGCGGGAATGTTTGAAATTCGAAATAGTTTCGTTGGATAAGAAAGACGCGTGGAAGCCTTAGAGTGTCGAAAGACATGCAAGAAGCAACGTGGCTTTTCATTAGAATAATACTGTTATGGTTAGAACATTATAAATAGTTCCTTAGTGTTAGGGAGAAAGCAGGATCATAATTCGTACAAAATTACTCATAAAATACTCAAGTACCAAGTTACAGAGAAAGAGTTCATTGAGAATGTACGTATGACCTCACACATTTTATCTTTGAAATGCATTTATCAATATAATTTCTTTTAAACCATTCTTTTACGTACTCTTGCAATTGTTCCTAATTTCTGTATGTTCTATCGAATTACTTCATTCTCTTGTAGAAGCTTTATGTATCAAGTTTCTTTTAAAAGGCTCTTTCCTTTACAATCAAGTCCTTTAATTCCATTTTTAAGTCTTTTCATTGTCAAGTATTTACATTCAAACCTTTTTGATTAAGACATTTTGTCCAAACCTTCACATTTGAATTTAATCCCAGAAGTCTTTGTATTTTCAGCCTTTACACAAACACATGCACAAGCACTACGTCGTGTTTAACATAAACCGTCAAGTAAGTGTTACAATTAATGTTAAGACACATGTCCTAAGATCAATCTAGTCGATCCTGCGAGTAACCATACATATCAAATTTGTTTGGAAGACTAGCGGTTGTTTCGCCAGAAATCACTGCGAACACAAACTTAAACCCTAATTTTGGTCATCAGTGCTTAAGGAGGTGTCTTGAGCTGATCAAACCCTAGTGCAGTCTTGAGCTAAGGAGATCTTGTGAGCAAATTCTAGATAAGTGAGAGGGAAAATTTTGGGGTACAACACCAAGTTATTGAGAATCTAGGTAGGAGATAGAAGTCAATATTAACAAACACAGAGCATCAACGTCGCCCGATGTGAGCTCAAGAAAAAATGTGGGGGATTGTTCACAGATCCCTGTATTCCACTTGACCGACTCGATAACAGGAGTAGCACTATTCAAAGCATCAACGCATGGCATAAGCTACGAATGACACGGGCTAGAAATGGCGGGGTAGATTACGGAGCCTCTGCCCGCCTTGCCTCCTTTTGAGGACTTATCAATGGGTAATGGGAATGGGATGCCTCTATGAGTTCTTTAGGCACAAATATAAACACATGAGGAATGCCTACTTCGAGGTAGGTCTTTAAACAATCAACAAACGCATTTAGAAAACAAGTGTGGAATGCCTTTTAAAGGTCTTTAAACATCGACTTCTAGCGCACGCTCTTTATTATCCTACTTATCATGATATCTAGAAAGCAGTTAAGTACGGAAAAATAAACTAGAAGCAGTGTAATACTAATTGGATAAAATGTCTGTCTGTTATACAGCAAACAAGCAAAAACAAAAATACTCCGGAAAACTTCGAGCAAGCTAACATCCACAAATGAAATGGTCAGACATCCTGTGCTCGATATAAGCATCAAAATATAACATGTGGCATGTGCTTCGGACACATCCTCACACCAAACAGAACACATGTACATAGTAAATATCTAGACAAAGACAAGTAACACATATTTCTCATAACAATGAGAGTCAACAGATAAACGTATCGGAAGCGTATATGATCCTTAATTAAAGTGGCATATTTATTTACCAAGATTAGGTAACAGATAAAATAAAATATCCTCAATGTACCTTGAACAAGTCACCACACATGTTAGAAATAACAAGGAGGCGAAATCGGAATTGCACATTCTAATCACAAGTCAAAATATGATCAAAACATGTCAAAATAAAATGCAAGCATGTATTGCGACATAAAAATAGAAGTCTGGGCAGCACGTACATCATACAAAGAAACGCACAAAATGTCAGTCCGAAACCAACACAACTTAATACACATGTCTTATAATGACCAAAACAAATGCAATGAAGCATAAACCAACAATTAGAAATAATTCCGAATGCGCTTTACAAAACGGAACAGCACTACGATTAATTGAAGAATTAACCCGAAAAATATATCAGAATCAAGCAAACTCAATCACAAAGGTTCATGAATGAACAATAAAGTATAAACATGCATCATGCAAAAATTAAACTCAAAATGTGTTGAAAAGCACCAAATAGCACTATATTAAAAAATTAGGCACATAAAAAGTCGGAACGCAATTGGCTCAATATTGCACGATTAGCTACATACACACCAACAAACTCAAAAAAGTGTATGCCTCGGATTAATTGCAAGCGAAGGTATCATTTACCATTCTCGGGCAGCAATGCCGTAATCATGAAAAATATGCGTAATTTCGATCTGTAAGCGATAAAAATTGGCATAAATATCGTCCAAACATTAAAACTAAGGGCCTTGTTCATTAGCCATTGACAAAATGTAATCTTGTGCTAAAAATTATGTCCAAAAAGTTGAATTCAACCATAAAATCAAGTGTTGATTTAATTTCTAAATTTGAAACTTGTACATTGAAAATGAGAGTTTATTCATAAAATGAATTGGAAATTATATCAACACATGATTACACAATCAACATCTCAACAACAATTCCATAATTGACACGTGAACTCATAATTCGGTATTTGAGATTTCAACAATTTTCACCGAATCGAAAACAAAATTCATATCAATTATACAATTGCTCAACCTACGCCTCTTTTCAACATTCTCCACAAAATTCAACAACTCAAGGTTTAGGCATATTCAACAATTCAAATTAAATTCATGAAAATAGGCTCAAAACTCAATAAGTTATGGTTCAAGCATTTTATCAAACACATAACCTTCAAGAAATTCAACTCAATTTATTCTCGACATAATTGAATTCAAAAGTTCGAGAATCATGATAAATCACAATTATGCAATTTAACTCATACTTCAATTCTAATTTTAATGTAAATTTACAATTCAAGCAAGATATTAAAGATCAAGAATTAGTAAATTACCGAATGAATGAAGAGGAGTTTGAAGTTGATTCCGGAAAAATGATCAGAGGAGGAAGATATATCGCAGAAATTTGTGCGACGGGAAGAATGGACCGTCGGAAAAATCGCCGGAAGGAGGAGGAGTCATGGTTGGTCACCAGAGCCGAATCGGAAGCGGTGGTGGCGGACCGATGGTAGAGGCGGATCGGAAAGGAGGGAGTTGCTTGCAGAATCGAAGCATAAGAGAGGAAGAGATTTAAGGTTTTTTTTTTACTTTTGATTTTCCGGCACGGTGGTTTTTTTAATTTAAGCAACTAACTTTAGCAAATGATCTTAATAGCTTTAAAATCATAATTCCTTTGACAATATATAGTTTGAAAATAAAAATTACTCTATAATATCAAACCAAATGTTAATGCTATTTTTCAATTATATTTAAATGTATTTATTACTCTCTTCAATTAGTTATTTTAATTTAACTTTCACATCTTATTAGTAAAAAATAAATTTGTAAACTAACTTATACTTTCATTTTTCCATAAAAAAATATGTAAATATTTTTTGGTCTGTAATTCATGACGATTTTTTAATAACTATGAAAGTGACAAAGTTTTATATAATTAAATACCAATGAAATATTCAAAACAAAAAGTTAAATTGTGAGAAAAAGAAAACAACTATGAAACTGTAAATAAAAAGTCATGTATCATAAATGATTAGACTTTTTAATTTAATCGATTTTTTACGTACGGCATTGTAGTTTCATAATAATGATGGTCCTGTTTGTAGCCTATAAAAACTAACCACAATTCCTACTTTCTATTCACAAAACAACATCACTCAGTGTTGTTATCTTGTTAGTTAATTGTCTACTTCACTGCATGAAAAATGTCTCGCATGAAAATATCATTGCTGTCTATGTTCACTCTTTGCTTGATATCTGCACAGGCAGCAAGGTTTGAAATTATCAACCGATGCTCCTACACCGTGTGGCCAGCTGCCATTCCCAGAGGTGGTGGTAGGCAGTTGAATTCAGGTCAATCATATGCCTTAGACATCCCTGCTGGAACCTCGGGCCGAATTTGGGGCCGAACCGGTTGCAACTTCGATGGATCAGGCCGTGGTAATTGTCAAACCGGTGACTGTGGTGGTGCCCTAAGTTGCAGCGTATCTGGTAGGCCTCCGACCACACTTGCTGAATTTACCCTTAACGGTGGAAACAATCAGGATTACTATGATTTATCTGTGATTGATGGTTTCAACATTGCAATGCAAATTGCTCCAACCTCTAATGGATGCAACAAAGTGCGAACTTGCAGAGAACGTTCTTGCCCTGATGCTTATCAGTATCCCAGTGATAATACTAAAACGGTTTCATGCCCAGGTGGTACCAACTATAGAATTGTCTTCTGCCCTTAAATCCACGATGTTATAGTTCGTTTTCTATAGCGAATAAAAGAAAACCGATGTAAAATATAAAATAATAAACACTGCTTAATTTACTCGTGGAATTATATAGAATTTTTCGAGAGTGCAATATATGGAATAAATGGTTGTCTGATGAATAAACTATAATATCATTATAGATATTTTTCTTTTGCACCATAGGAGACAACACTATGGTTGGTATGTGTTTCCTCTTTTTTAAGTTAAATTTTGAAATAATTGATAAAAATAATTTGATAACATAAAAAGAATATAATGTATAAACACAAACAAATAAGAGTAAACAAAATGGAGAGATGGACTATTATGTCTATCTCAACATGTACTCTTTCGTACTCGTTTGGCTCTTTGTAATCGGCCACGTTGCAATTATCTTGGCCACATTTCTATATTCCTTCATGTTGCTTGCTAATGACTCCACCTCATGTTGCTACTATTTCGACCACTCTATTACTTACATGTTGAAACCGATCTATACCTCGTCTAAGAGATAATAGCCAACGGAATTGACACAAAATACAGTAAAAAAAAATAGTCTATCCCTTCCTTTATAATTGTCAATTTTTTTAACTTTTTATACATATTAAAAAATATGATAATTATTGTTACTTTTTAATAATTTTTATTTTACCTATAATATATTTAATTATTTATCATTTCAATTTACATTTTTCTTCTCTCTAATAAATATTTAGAATAATTTTGATAAAATAATAATCATTATTCCTTTAAACTTTGAAAGTGACAATTAAAAATATATATATATATATATATATATATATATATATATATATATATATATATATATATATATATATATATATATATATATATATATATATATAGATTTTTTTAAAAATGGCACCTATGAAGAAATGGATAGAATAGTAAACAAACAGAGGATCACAAGTGTGCTTGGAATTGGTGAAATAGATGAGAGAGAATTAACTGAAAGAGAAGTTGATAAAGAGATAGTATTCCTCTACCTTGGTTTGAATAGAAACAGGGAGGGGGACTGAGATAAAAAGTATATGGCCTCTTGATTTTCAACTTTTCACTGGTAGAAAATGTGTATACAACAACGCCCAAGTTATTAATAGTTCTTCTAAATACTGTGGTGACATTTCTAAATTTACGCTTTAATATTTTTATTTTTTATTTTTTAATTAAAAATTGTTAGGATACAATCAATCTTTCAGGATTCGAACCTCAACGCCCTCAAATATTTTATTCATTTACCGTTAAGGCGCGTATTTTCTTTTCTTTTTTATTTATTTTTAAATAAAAAATAAAAGGTCGCAATTGTTTTGTTCAGCCGTTGTGACACACACACAAACACGCGCACACGCACATACACACGCGCACATACAGTATGACCTAACTTCAGCATGCATCCATAAATCTTTGACTAGGTCATGATAGATTGGTCCAAACAACACAACAAAGTAATTGGACCATCTTTGATCGTTTACACTCTGAGTAAGACCCAAATTATCACTGATTGACCTTAGAATATTTGGACGATGTTCACAGATAATTACAAGAAGATCTTCATCATCGTGAAGGATTCTTGAATCCATGAGGAGAGAGAGAGAGAGAGAGAGAGAGAGAGAGAGAGAGAGAGAGAGAGAGAGAGAGAGAGAGAGAGAGAGAGAGAGAGAGAGAGAGAGAGAGAGAGAGAGAGAGAAGCACTGATGTCTGGAGAGCTGAAAGACTAGGGGGTGGGGTCAAGGCTATAAATAGAGGACAGGAAAACGTAACTGACTGTATAAAAGATACAAATTAGATACTCGAGAAAAAAATTGACAACTTAATAAATGAAAATTTATAGAGAGTGGTATATATACGACTTCCAAGACGCGAGTCAAGAGACAAGACAAACACTTATGATAAGAAATGAATATAGCGTGCTAACGATCATCATTTTCGTAGGGTAGTTTACCAAAAATGTCAGATAGATAAATTATACACATTAGTCAGATGAGAAAACATATAAATTTAGTCTAACACTAATTAATGAAGTGAATCTTCAGAAACCAAAGAGCAGAGATTCTTATAAAAGATTTTATATTTAATTAGGAATATCTTAACCTTTTCCTTGATAGAATAACTTCTAACTTATAGAGGTGTCTATAAGTACTTTGTTATAAATTATATATGATACTGACCTGATGTATGTTGTCTATGATGAGATCTTCTTCATTATTGAGCTTGATTTTTATCATCCATATGGTTACAATGTCGCGAGTTCCCTTTTTATCAGATACTAGGTCTAAAGTGTCCTTCTTGTAGACCTGATTTAATTCTTCTTGAATTTTCATCTTCCATTCATTTTCTTCTATCACGGACATCAACCCTAGGCGTATCTTCTCATAATGTAATAGTCTTTGTAGGATTCTATTTATAGGATTTTAATCATTAGAAGCTTCTGATTGAACATCTTTTGATCTTCTTGCTTCTTGTACTTTAAAAGCAGCTCTATTACCTTTTGATTCTGAAAGGGTAATCTTCACACCTGCAAGCTTATCAACTAGCTTTTACTTTTCAGAGTCAAGCTTATCATCAAATCTAACATAAATTGACTCCTCAAAAAATGAGTGTTTCAATGTTATATACCATGTAGCCTTTTGATCATTCAGAACACCCTAACATGATACAACTTTGAGGTTTTGAATCAAACTTGTTCAGATTTTCTTTAGGTTGTCATACCCCAAATTTGTCCTACCTATTTTGCTTTTATCTAGTTTAGGCTTTGCATTTCATTTGTGTAACACCCCGTTTTTGATTAAATGTTAATTCGGTTATTTGAAATAAAAATATTCATAATGATAAAATACTATTTTGAGTAATATTATTTTGGTGTGTATTTGGCTTCGTTTAATTTATCGGTATAATTTAGTTTTTATGGAATAAATATTAATTAAATGTAATATGGTTTTAATAGAATTATATGATATAATTTGAATTAAATAATTGTTGGGGCCAAATTATAATTTTAGAAAGATAGAGGGAGGAAAGTTAGTAGTAGAAGAATAGTTTTATAAAATAGAAAAGGAGAGTTAGTAAGAGTAGTTGGTAAGAAGAGAAAGAAGAAAGAAAAGAAGAGAGAAAGAGGAGAAGATAAGAAAGGAAGCTAGGTTTGGAGTTGCAACATCTTCATCATCTTGTTTCAAGAAAACCCACACCAAGGTAAGGGGTTTGATTCTCCATCTCATATTGTTAGGTTTTGTATGATATATTTTGGATTTGGGGGAAAAATTGATAGTTGATTTATAGGGTTTTGTTGGTTGATTGTTAGAATGGTTTAGAAAAGTTGGATTAGGAGTATGGTTTGTGGGTGTATTAGGTGCTAGCTTGTAGAAATTAAGAGTATTGAAATGGGAAAGAAAACCATGGTAGTAGAATGAGAAAAACTCAAAAGAGTGGAGTTTTCACGCAGGCTTCTCAACACGGGCCGTGTTGCAGCACACGGGTGCCCGTGTTGATGCTCTGACTTGGCATTTTCTTTGCTTGTTCTGGTGGCCTCTCAACACGGGCCGTGTTGCAGCACACGGGTGCCCGTGTTGATGCGTCTGTAGCCTCCAAAATTCTGATTTTCGCACTTTCTTTGGAACCCGATTGTGTTCCGATTTTCCGATTTGGAATTATTTGATAGTTGATGGTTTATGTTTTGGTTGAGTAAGTAACTTGTTTGTATACATTTTACTTGACGTTGTGATTGTTAAATTATATGTATGCATGCATGTACAATAGTTGATGTTCCATTGGTTGGATTTGATGGCATGTGTATGTTAAGATTATTGTGAATCTCAATTGCATGCATTGGTTATATTGTACATTGCATGGCATGGTTGGTCTTGAAACAGAGACGGTGAAACTGTGGGTTCACGTGATTTTATAGACGGTGACCCTATTGTGGGAAAAGACGTAGTGACCTTGATCCGGAAGGGAAATATAGGTGGTGGAACTTTGGGTCCACAATATCTAGACGGTGACCCTATTGTGGGAAAAGACGTAGTGACCTTGATCCGAAAGGGGAATATAGGTGGTGGAACTTTGGGTCCACAATATCTAGACGGTGACCCTATTGTGGGAAAAGACGTAGTGACCTTGATCCGGAAGAGAAATATAGGTGGTGGAACCTTGGGTCCACGAGTCGGTACCGCATTCGCATACGTTGAGTCGTGTTGTGAGTCACATGTATAATTGTGCATGATATGTATGTGTGTTGATGTGTTTGATTATGTGCCAATACTGTTGTTGTTTGAATTATGGTTATGTGCCAAGGATGTGAGTATTCGGATAATCGGTTTACATGGTTAATGTGTTGGAAATGGATTCCTTGAGTAAGGATACTACAGGTGATAAAATGAACATGATCATTATGTATTGCTTTATTTATTGCCATTTCATTTACTTAAAATTACATGTTATATGACTATTGGAATTCTTACCCTTTTGTTGGCCAATGCTTTTGATGGCATTGTGCAGGTACCGAGGACGGTAGCGCGAGGCGCTAGCTAACGGATGCATTGGATTGCAATCTGTTTTATTTTGATTAGAGTAGAGTCGATGCTCTGGTAGTAACACATGGGGGGGGATTTATTTAGTGTCGAACTCGATTATTTGGTATTTGGATTATGATGTATATAATCCCTATTCGTGTATATGATGTTTTGTATATGTGAGACTTGATAACATATGCTTATGTGAATTATGATGGCTTGATGCCTTGAATTATGTTTTGATTCCTCCATAAATGGAGATGATGTGAAATTATGAAACTCCGTTGCGTTTGCACGAGAGAATGAAGTAAATATTTATTGTATGTTTGTTTCGTGTTGGAATGCTTATACTTTCAAACCTACCCTGTCCGTTTTTCTTTAAAAACTTTGGAATGTGATGTGTGTTGTGGCATCCCTTCCGTGCAATTTTATTTCTCTAATTTTAATCTTTACCTTTAATTGGGTTATTTTAAGAAGGGGTGTTACAATAGTGGTATCAGAGCAGGTCGGTCTATCGGCCAGGTTGTTTATGTGTTTAATCCCTTTTGGTACGCGACATGTGTGTGAAACACTGTCGGTACTTGATTATTTCCTTTTCGTTGTCTGCAGAGGTACGTGTGAATTAAGTGGGGGAGAAGTTTCTTCTCTGAAGTTTTGTGCAAGAGGTTGGTTCAGTATACCGCCAATTATAAGATGTAAGTATTGCCGAGCAGTTGATGCTTCAAGCATGGTTATGTTTAAGTAGCTTGAGGGGTAAGATGGAAGATGCTGTTGTGGTTTGGTAA